GAAACTTTTAGGACAACCTAATAGATGCTGTACACGATTGGTAAGATACGATACTACCCACAACCTACAACACGATATTAGAATCAAGTTCATCGTGTACATATATGTAACATATATTCCCGTTGCGTAAAATATCGCTGTAAATGTATTCTTATAAAAATTTGTAATTTCTTACAAAGACCAGAATCACACAGATTGAAACGTTCGAATAAGCAACTTTTCATTTCCACCGGTAGTCTAGAAATTTTAACGAATAATCCTCCTTGACGCTTTATCGATTAATATCACCAAACTACTGATACATTTAGATTTAATTTTTACTTGTCAATTGAAAAATATTTTATGATATAATTGAAATTGTAATTTCTAGTTGATAATTTTCTGCCTTAAATTAAATGATTAGCCGTTCATCGTCAAATATTTTATTCCACAATGCGAATTGTAATTGCTGGTGGAACCACGCTCTTATAATCGACGATGGATCATCATCGGCCGCCGGGTCGGCAATTATACGGGACCACTCGCGATTATTCGATTCAATCGACAATCCGCAGATTGCAGGGAAGAAAAGTTGCGCGTAATAAAAGTCTCAACTGCCGTACTAGTCGTATTTTATCAGGAGCTACGTGTCACCGGTAACCAAGGTTAGGATCGAAAACAGTTTTCACAACTGCACGGAAAGATGAACGAGTACCTTATATCTATATCCAATATGGACCCATCTAATATTTCATTAGTTAGGAGTTTATATTAGAATTTATATTAGAATTTATATTCTCACAAACGGTCAACGATCGAAAGGTTAGCCATAACATTTACTTGTAACCACAGAGATACTAATTGTTTACTTTCGCAATTATATCCATTAACTCTTTGCGGCACAGGAATTCAAGTCATAAAATAGACCCATATTGCACAGGAATTTTATTGCGTTTTCAATCAAACAAAATTGTTATATTTTTATTAATAAAGGTATCACACCAATACACATGCAGCTATTGCAAAATTTCGAAGTGGGATTAAAAGTGTCCCACCATGCATTACGGTCCATCAAAAAGGTTTTAATCCCACCGTGCCCCGAAACAGTTAAAAGTATGCTCTTTAATAATATTAATATTTTAATATTAATATTAATATTTTTAAGGATATAACGAGCTATCGTGTATCCGCCGAATGCACGCCATCGACATTCATGCATCATCGATGAACTTGACGAACCGCTACAAACACGAGAACGAGGCCATATCGGTTTGAAAAGGAACTATAGAAGAGCATACCTGGATACTTCCTCTTGTGTTCTGCGTCCACTTCGCGGGCCAGGGCGAAGTATTTTTCCTTCACGTCCTTCGCCATTTTCTTCCAAAGGATTCCCAATCTACATGTACAATATTTCGATTCAAGAAGCTGATTTTTACGCAACATAAATTAAAAACAAATCATACAATTATAAATATCTAATAACTAAGTCACTTCGGAGTCAATAATACCAGCAATTTAATAACGTAACGTCGTGTTTCGACTGCATACATGTATGTATGTTTAATAATTTTCAGAATTTCATTAAATAAAAAATAAACCTTTATTAATAGTACGAATGAAATCTATACAGAAATAAACTAGACAAAACTATGCTAATAAACGAGTTTCATCCATCCTTTTTTGTACAGATATTCTTTGTATTATCAACAGAAGGTTATCTTCTATTTTATAGGATTTTCACATATGATAAATAATCTGCAAACAAAAATCGTAACACGTCTAATATAAATACGAAAACATTATAAAACAGGAAAACGAAATTATTTCGTAAAAAAAATCAGTGTCGTAATATGTATATGTAGTAACATACATAGTAATTAGAAAAAAGTGCAAAAAATTTGTGATCGTTTCTAACGGAATTTCCAAAAATGGCTTTAGAATTATGTGTTTTTATGACAAAATGCACCTCGTCCGCGTTGTTGTGGTAGACACTTGAACAACATCGTCTTTCGTATTAAATTGACAATCGTATGTATTTCGTGAAATAAAAAGATTCAATTATTTCATACTATTTCTGTGAACAAACGCCTAAACCCCTTTGTTGGGGAACGCTCTATTACTTGTTGTCATTCTCATATCCGTAAAAATACAAAAAAAAAAAAAAACAAGAAACAAAAAATAAATTCATTTTCCTGCTTTCCAACGTTTTTGTAAAAGATATTGAGCCTAACTTGACCATCTTAAGGGGGTATCCTAAATTAGGAGGTCTAAAAAAAGCGTTTTTTCGTGAATTTTTTAAGGGGGAAAAAATTATTAATTCTATCGAACTTTTTATCCTATTTTCATACATATTTGAGTAGTCTGTACAAATTTTTTCAATAAGTAATATTCAAATTAAGTCGACTGCGACGCACATTCGTTGGGCAACCTCACAATTAAAACCTCCTATCGGCGGGAAAGATGCAGGTCGTAATTTTGGTTTGACACAAAAAAACCAAAACGAATTTTCATTTTCATACATTTTTCTTCTATGTGAACTAGAAAAACCCGCAAATATGGTGAAATGTGAAATTACAGCAAGTTTGAAAAAAAAGAACGAGTTCTTTCGGTGGAAAAAATCACTTTAACTTGATGAAAAAGTTGTATGTTTTCTTAGTTCACATAGAAGAAAAATGTATGATAATGAAAATTTCTTTTGGTTTTTTTGTGTCAAATTAAAATTACGACCTGCATCTTTCCCGCCGATAGGAGCCTTTAATTGTGAGGTGCTCTACAAATGTACGTCTCAGTGGACTCAATTTGAATATTTCTTCTTGACAAAATTTGTATAGACTACTCAAATATGTATGAGAATAGGATAAAAAGTTCGATAGAATTAATTATTTTTTTCCATTCTAAAAAAATTCACGAAAAACAGCTTTTTTTAGATCTTCTAATTCAGGATACCCCCTTAAATATCGCGTTTATAGCGTTAGGAGAAAACATTACAGAAAAACATTGCTTTGTTCAAAATGGCAAATACAGGGTGATTCCGAAGAAACAGAAGACCTAAATATCTCCGTTACATTTCGTTGTACAAAAAAACTTTTTAGGACAAAGTTACACTATTTGAAGGGCCACATGTAATGGTGTAAGGGAAACAAATTTCAAGGTCATCGATATTTTTTTAAATGGAATGATATATTTTCGTTAGCGTAATGTTGTAGCTGACAAAATAACGAATTCATCCATGTACTACAATATGACCTACAAATGACCTTCAACCCAGGAATTTGGAATAAATAAAATTCAACGTGTAAGATTGGAAATCTTAGGAAACATTAGAATTAGAAATCAGAGAGCAAGAACGTCTTCAGACTGATCAGCAGTTGTAAACACGAATGTGTACAAACACATAGATAAAGGTATATCATAAATGTCTTCCTGTCAACACCGAATCTATCATTATGTTATGTTCGCAATACATTTGAATGTATAGCAGCTCAAGTTAATATTAATGTGAATATTCAAAATATTTTGAACATTGTGCGTAACAGGTATAAGGCAAATCAATCTTACACGTTGAATTTTATTTATTTCATTTTTCTGGGTTGAAGGTCATTTGTAGGTCATATTGTAGTACATGGATGAATTCGTTATTTTGGCAGCTACAACATTACGCTAACGAAAATATATCATTCCATTTAAAAAAATATCGATGACCTTGAAATTTTATTTAAAAAGGACCTTGAAAATTGTTTCCCTTACACCGTTACATGTGGCCCTTCAAATAGTGTAACTTTGTCCTAAGAAGTTTTTTTGTACAACGAAATATAACGGAGATATTTAGGTGTTCTGTTTCTTCGAAATCACCCTGTATTGCGATGCGCGTATAATTTTTCTCAAGGTTATATCTTGAGATTTCAAGGTGATTAAAGTTCTCTTAGAGAAAACTACATATTTTTACGATCGATAATAGTTGAGATCGCGAATTCTTTATCAAATACATTATTTATTGTTTTTCGATAATGCGGTATCAATAAATGCAAGCTCGAGAAAAAAACTCGCCTAACACTGATGTCCTTGTTCGATTCTCGTGGATTCTCAGACGCAAGCTTCTTCCGCCATTCATTGGCGAAGAGCATAAATGCGTTCGCCGGTCTTGGGATTTTCCGTTTAACTCCACTCGAATCGTCAATTCGGCGGTCGATGCATAGAAAAGTTGGAAATCCTACTGAACGTATCTGCGATCGACCGAGTTGCTGCAACACAAAAATTTCCTCCTCCTCTTCGTCGCATTTCTCTCGACCCCGACCACGACCCCGACCCCGGCTACTGCGAATTTCTTTCGATTCCACGTGGAGTTTCTTTCTTGGCCCGTTCTCTTTATCGCTCTCCAAATCGAAATCCTCATTAGTCACCCTTAAAGCAACTTTAAACTTAGGTTCCTCATTCTTTTTCTTCTTGCAATCGTCGCACGTCTCTTCGGATAAACTATACGAAAAGGTATTTTTTATAACTGTCAGTCGATCTGGGTCCGAAGCATCGCTGTGGTTATTAAGAATCTCGCAACTGGTCAAATTTTCCTGATCCACTTCTGTCTTGATAGTAGCTAAAGTAAAATAATATTTCGTTACTGTTGCGTATAAGACACCTTTAATAATTTTGCAAACGCGTCAGTAACAGTATATCTAACACGATGGACGAAATTCACGAAAGAATTATTACTTATGTTCTCACCTTTTTGCGCGAGGTTTAAAATTAATCCAAAATCGTCCATAGTAAACCTTCTTACCGAATAATCGACCAACAAGTTACCAAATTATTGTTCTGTCTTTAACAATAATTGCAGGACATGAGATGTTTAATAATTATGAAAGCTAACACACGAAGGTTGATATATTATTTCGTTGTCGAGTGGTTCGCGTTGGTTGTTGAAAACAATTGAAAAATCGTCGCGAGACGATGCTTTGGTTCTCATCCTATTTTATTTTCTGACAGTCCTCCTTTCATGACGTCAGCCTCAGCCCCCATTCCCCATCCTCCAGCCACCAGACCTCAGCCCAGAATGCGTTATTGCGATTTGCTGGATATTGCGAGAGACAGACGACAGTCGAATAGCCGAGTCCGACCAAGTCGATGCAAATGTTTCGTCAACTATCCCTTACGCACTTCTCCCGTTTACGTAAAAAAAGAAAACGGTTCTTACGATAAATAGCAAATATTTTCGTACGGTTTCAATCGGAGAGTAAGAAATCATGTCTTGCAGTGACGATTGTTTGTGTAACAAACGTGGTATAGATTACTATGGCGTATTATTATTGAAAAAGGACTGCACCGATTTGGAGATCAAAACAGCGTAAGTGAAATATTTTCGTTTTCCAAAGTACATAGATATCATTACTGTTTTGCAATTTTTCAACTTTATTGGTTCAACCAATTTACAATCTTTTCAGATCAAACCTTCATATTTTGTTATCAGTTGATCAAGTACATATGTACCTATTTATATGTGTAATAATATTTATGTTATAATTAATTTAATATTTACTCAACTTGTTTTTTTTTTCTCGCATAAAATATTCTTTCTCTTCTCAAATGAAATATCTATAGTATTGCAGGGTACAGCAAGAGACTTAATTTTGAAATTAACCTAGAATAAATGGGTTCATAAATACAAAAGTAAAATGAATTCCTTATCGATACGCTGAAATAATCACTTTAATAAATAAATAAGCAATTTATTTAATATTATTGTACATTACGTAACTGTTTTCATTTTATCTTTCTTAAACTATCATAGTGATAAATAAACAAATACAAATATTTCAGATACCTTTCTTGCCTGAAATCTGGTTATGCTCATATATTTATTCCTTATTTCTAATAACAATTTTAATTTTCATATGTATATGCACATGCAATATCATTCTTGTTAAAAAGAATGCATACATGAAATGCTACATTAAACACAATTTTTATTTGTCTTATCTTATTTTCTATTTGTTATTTAAAATTTGTTTATCTAGATAAGAATATCAACAATTTCTGGATCAATCATAAATTTAACAATTGAATTGTATTTTTTATTTTGTCTTCATTGGTTTCAGATTTCGCAGATTGGCAATACGATACAATCCTAAAAGAACAAAGGATGAAAGTTTTAAAACTATTTTTGCTTTAATAACTGAGGCATACGATGTGCTTTCGGATCCTGTTAGAAGGACCATATACGATCAATATGGTGAAAAAGGTCTTAAAAATGGTGTGCCTGGCATGCATGGATACATTCAACCATATATTTACCATGGAGAACCGATGAAAACATACAGGTATACTATTTCATGTATGTATTTACTAAGAAAATTCGAATTCAGCTCAATTTTATCTTTTGGCACCTCTTTAGGGAATTCTTTGGAACCGAAACTCCTTATGCCGATTTACTCCATATACTATCGCAGCCTTCATCTATGCTGGAATTTCCTGAGGGACAGGGATTAAAACGCAAGGAGGAGCCATTGATAAAAACCTTGTACTTAACCTTATCAGAGGTATCAATGTTTTTATTTACTTATTTATATTCTTCTCTTTGGGTAAACAGAACCCTTCAAATTATATAAGTGAGTATATGTACATCAACTCATATGTATAACGCAACTTTAAGAGTTTGTAACAGAGACTGTTGTATAAATATTTATTCATAAGTTGTAGTTCTACATTTATTCTTGCAATATTTGTCATATATTAAGATTATGACATGCCTGATACATTCTGTCACCTTTACATGTTCTTCTATCGATGTTATTATTGTAGATCTTTCATGGTGGAATTAAGAAAATGAAAATACAAAGATTGGTTTTAGTAGAGGACGATAAATGTAGAACAGTAACGAAAGAAAAGATCCTGACAATACCTATTAAACCAGGTATTCCAGCAGGAACGAGAATCATTTTCCCGAACGAAGGCGACCAGGGACCTACAAAGATTCCCGGTAAATTTTTGTACTATTTTTCAAAATGCAAAATAGAATCGAATTGAAACGTTTACTAATATTTACAATTTATCGATTAATTACGAAGCATTTCTGTCCAATTGTTTGTGATTTACGTGTATAGAATATTTGAAAGTACCTGGTTTTCATATCGATTGACTGCAGACGATCGTCCATGTAGGATAATACATAGCATTTCCTCAATTTTATGTGAAATGAAAAACATAAATTACGCAAATAGAGTGTAACAAAGTAATTAAACTATATGTATACATATACATACATCCAGGGTGTTCCGTTTAAAGAGGAATGGTTTAATGTCTCACGGGGAAATGAAGTTATCAAAAAAGTGTTTTTACAAAAGTTATTAAGTACAAAGGAAGAAATTATATGAAGTAAATAATTATGTTGTACGTCGAGTGGTGGGAGAGATTTAATAAACAAATTGATTTTTGTCTTTTTTTGACCAAAAACCTTTTATAAAAAACATTTTTTCGATGTCTTCATTCCCTCATGAGGATATTAAACTATCAAAGTATTACACTTTAAATGAAACATCCGACATATTACATTATTACATAGTTTAGTAGCCAAAATGCGATTAGAAAGTAAAAATGATCGTCGAAAAATGCGATGTAGTCAGGGATACAACTAGATTAATCGTAATCATGACCTATTTCCGCTCAAATATCGTGCATCTGAAATCGTAACGGGCAGAAATGGGTTAACCGTTGCGGTTCGCGTAATGTCTTTATTCAGTCTGAAGCATGTCAGCGTAGCGGATGTAATCTTCATCACGGAGGACCGCCCACACGAGACCTTCCAAAGAGAGGGCTCTAACTTACACATGGTGATCGATATCTTTCTGCGAGAGGCACTGACCGGAACAGTAGTCACTGTCAACACCTTGGACGACAGAACTCTGCGAATACCAATAACGTCTGTCATCACGTATGTTGTCTTGTTACATCGCAACAAGCTCGCAATGCATCCTTTCCATTTGTTTTTTTTTCATCTATTAGACAAACATCCAACTATTCATCTTTCGAATAGCGATCAACAAAAGTCAGTAGCGCATTATTCTTTCATGGGATATAAAACAAAATAAAATTTAATGGTCTCGCTAAAAAGAAAAAAAATGAAACTTTAATCCACATCATTAAATTCAAGACTACCTTTTGACAAATTGATTTAATAATATGTTAATAAAATGTATAATATTAATGTAATAATTCGATAATAACAATGGATAATATCTTTTTATTTTAATAACTATAGACCGGATTACCGGAAGCACGTACTTTCTGAAGGGCTACCGCTACCAGAAACTCCAAAAAAAAGAGGAAGTCTCATCATAATGTTTAACATCGAGTTTCCGGTGTACTTACCTGTATCGAATAAAAACCAAATTAAACAAGCATTTGATCTCTCGCATGATACAAGTGATGCGGAATACGTTCATCGTTTCATACTGGCAAATAAAATGCGTAAAAACGTAGATTTTGATGTTACGGTACGTCGGAACCCCAACGACCACGAAGCAAAGCAATTAGAATTCATATGTGACTCCTAATTTTGATGATTTAATCGTTTAAAACTTGACAAAAAACAACAAAATATGAGTATATATATTATAAAGAATTTGACACCAAATCATATTTTCTATATTTTTTATTTGATAAGTTACAAAACGTTGTAACCGATACGATACATCAGTACAAGTTATTGCATTTGTAAAATAAATTTAATTGTATTATTATCAACACCTTTTATCCTTTGTGTTTCATTTAATAATTTTTGAGAACAATTAAACAGAATCCACAGTGCTTCGTGTAAGTAATCAAAGGTAAGATTATCGAGCAAATAAATGCGTCAAATGATGCAAACAGTAGTTATGCTTATGCAGGCGGCACGATAGAAAAAGTAAGGAAATCAAACAATTACTTATACACTCCATGAGAAACACAAAAGTCGTGACTCCTGTTATAATAATATTATTATTTTGAATAAAGTGTGGAGCAGTCACTTTACATGAATTGTCATTAGGATCTGAACCTCCACCCTGTTGAACACAGCATTTTAGCTGCGCATAGTTGGAAACCACCGAATTTTACATTGTGTTACACAGTGTCGCCTTTGCACTTTATTGGAAAGGACTTTCATGTACTGGCAGCTCATTTTGATTTCACATCTTTTTCTACTTTCTTGTACTTTTTTATGGGGATCTTTTATTTTTCTATGATAACTCCTTGAGTCCTCCACTTTTTCATGTACTTGGCGTAATTTTTTTACTTTATTATTATTTTGAATACTTGCATTTTAAAACTTATGGTTCAAGTAGCATGTGCTGCACTCTTGCGGAGCGATCTACAATTTGTTTTAAGGTAAAACAGTTCGTGCACCGCTAACCATCGCTGACAATTCGTCTTGATCTCGATCGAGCGAATGAATTTTTTTCTCTTTAATACTTGTCATTTCTTCTGAAATTTTCCACAACATTCTATCGAAGCCGCCTCCTGTTCCCCGAGAAGTGAAACGAATCGCGTAGAACAGAGGAGAGAAGAGTGGATAAAGATATCATTCGATGTTGGCGGAATGAAAAACGATAATCTCGGGCAATCATATGACTCCTCCGCACGTGACTTTATTTACAGTTGACTGATACTCGCGAACATGTATGGTGCAGTTCCTTGTGACATGATAGACCGAAAACGAAACAAAGTTAGCGAGCAATGCGGTAACTATAAGTGGTCGTTAGTTTATGATGCCTTTGCTCGATAAACTATTTCCTTCGAGGAGGAGTTTCAAGAGTAACGTACAAACCTTCGTAGCGTCAAATGTCGGAGCACAAGAAGATGATAGGTAAGAAACTGTTCTTTTTCGATTGTTTGCAATTACCTTATTCATTCTCACCATTCTATTTTTCATCGGTTGTGTGTGTGTACCTAGCATTATCAATCTCATACACTGAATCGATATCTATCGTTAATCGATCATCGGTAATCCAATATCGTTCCGATGTTTACTTTAAAGATTTGAGTTTCAAAATTGGATTTTCTTTTATTCATATTCGAAAATGGAACTATTCGAATTGCAAAATTTAACGGAAATAATGTTTCTAAGAACCTTAACCTATTTCGTGTATGCTCATTTCTCTATCCCCGTTGGCGGGAGTCATAATCGCTCGTCGTTAGTAACACACTCGTGACTTGGCTTCTGCATCGAGCCGTGAAATTGACCTCTACGTTGAAACTTTCCAAACGACTACGACTGTTACAAATATACACTATTGCTTAGATAATTTTCTAAACGAAAATTGATCTTGTTACGTGGTACACAAATACATCGCGATCCTCTTCTCAATCATAAATATACCGTTATAAATACTTATATTTATGAAAAGAAGACTTACACGATATCGTTCACAAATACTGTATGAACTATGTAATGGATCGTATCTATGTTTACATACACTGTATAATTTAATCTTTTGTAAAAAGTATGCAGGATTGTTGTAATATTTTTAAATCTGCATCTATTATAAATTAAAATCTTGCATCAGGATGAACAGATATGTTGTTATAATATAATATTAGAATATTACAAGGACTATAGAATACAATACAATAAAATACTAGGAAATCGAGACATTGTTTGTATATGTTTACTCGACAAAAACATAGAAAATAGTAATGTTGCATCCGCCAATATTAAACATCACTTTGTAATACTACATATCAAATGGAAGGAATATTTTTATTACACATTATTATCATGTTAGTTTTTATAATAACAATTTTTATGTAGTACTTTGTAATACTACATATCAAATGGAAGGAATATTTTTATTACACATTATTATCATGTTAGTTTTTATAATAACAATTTTTATGTAGGTTCTAAACATTAAGAAATTCTCACATTTGATACCCACGAAATATTTTTTTTTATTTTCCATGTACGCGAGCTAGTATAGAAATGTTAATAATAAATAATAATACAAAGGAGAAAGTATAGAACAATATATGTATGAAAGAAACTTTAAACTATACATGGAGCGTATGCCAAATGTATTTATGAATAAATTTCATTTAAATCGACATATCTGAGAAAATGTTGTGTTATATGTTGTCTTGAACACATCCTTTAAAATAGACAAGTTAGATATCATTCGACAGGTCATGGGTCGAAGTTGTGCCTTTTCACGGTTCACGGGTTCCAGTTCTCCCTTCCCCAAGTCCCTCTTTCACGCATTTGCAATTCAGGAATTACCAATAGTTCCGTTAGATCTGTAACTTGAATACATGTACATAAACGAAACGATGTTTTTCGAAAATGTTTACTATGGCATAGTTTTACGAAAAAAACTTATGCTTACAAAAATCGGATGAACAATTTTCCTTTTTGATGGAACAAGAGATTCACAACATACAATTGGTGCAAAATTTTTAATCACGTAGTTCCTGTTGGTTGCTTGTTAATATTTAATTATACATGGCGTGTAATTAATTTATCTAATAAATTACGTTATTAGATAACGTAAAAGATTGTTAATAACGGTGTCCGTAAATGGTGTATTTTAATCTAGTATGTTTATTCATGCATTTATTTATTTATTTATTTATGTTGTTGCGTTATAATGTTATATCATACTTGATTTTCGTAGGAACTCCGCCTTGTGTCTCGGAACAGGTCAAGTTCGAATCTTGTTGTTCCGTGAATGTGAATGGCGTGGAAGAAAGCTTCTATTTGATTCTCTCACGCTGGAAAAACGGTGGCACAAAAATAACACAGCCGCGTTGGATCTGAAAAATAATACTGGGCCGACAAATGGCGATTCTATAAACTTCGCAAGCAGTCGTAGTTTCGAGGTAATAAATCGCTAAATCACTTAAAAATATTTTTAATTTACACACTTAATGAGAAAGTTAATTAATCATTTTTTAGCGGGAAAGAACGGCCGAAGATGACGTGAGTTTACTGAGCGAAATGGTGTTCGGTACCGTGGCAATGACGTATAGAGGATCCTCATTCAAGGTGAAATTCGATAAAACTCGATATATAATATTATCATCGATGTCTGAATATTAAATTAAAAAAAATCCAATTTTCAATTCTACTCATATTTTTTTTTCTAGATACATTCGATGAATTCACCGCCCTGTATCATGTGCACTAAAGTTTTCCCTGCTACAGAGCATAACGCATGTAAACAGAGGTAAGTTGAACTATTTATAATAAGACGGTTATCGATTTTACGTTGTGATTGATTTGTTGATATGATATTTGACTTATTACCCAATATGTTCCAGCGAGAGAGTGTCGGATGAAGGATTAGGTCGTTCCGTGAACCTCGATTCCAATTCCAGCATGCGAACTCTTTGTAAGCAAATAGTCTAGTATATTTATTTAGTTTTAGAATAGTAGGTATAATTACAGTAGGCAGAACCGAATTACGATTTTACAGGTACAGTGAGACTCTCGATAATATTTTAAAAAAAAAAAAGACCACCCACTTTCAAACAACGTGTATACATCCTTCGCAATTTAACTATACATATGTATACTTTTAAAGAACGTATATGTATACAATATATGCACTTTGTGGCAAAACAGTTAAGCAAGATTAATATTCCATAATACAGTCGCAAAATGCACATAATTAACGCTGCTAATGTGGCTAACAATTGCTTTATTGGTATCCACTCTCTCATCTTTGTAAAATATGAATGGCAATGGTCAACAAATAATTATGTACCTACGTGATATATTGATATACTACAACTATAAACTTATCACCATAACTGTAAACGCCAATATCACTTGTCAGTTTTTAATCGGTAGTTGAGAATATTTAATATTCACAAATGAAATGACTTTTTAGTTTATCTCTGGAGACTTTGTGATTGTCAAAGGTTCAGTTGACGGTGTACTAGTCGCAAAGCGGTCTCTTTGTCGGACACGACTCTAGTACTCTAGTGGGTCCTTACTTACTAACGATCTCTACAGTGTTCTAACTTCTAGTTTCTTGAAACAGACAGTTTTTTCTTTGCTGACATTTAATGACCCTGGATCACCTTGAACTGTAGGTAACTGTATTCCCTTCGCATCAAGCTTTCGTTAAGCGGTAAATAAAAGAAGAATATACATATTGCTTTATTCAAAGAAACTGAATAAAATGTCCATAGAACTTCGGTTAAGGTGCAGAAAATGAGGTACCCTCCGATCGGGCTGATTTTTTTATCATAGATACTCCTTGACCTGGCGACTACAATGCTGGTCATCTTAATCCTTAACTCCCACCCCCTCTTTCCATGGGCCAAAAACTGAACTGGTACGAAAGCCTCACAGCGGCCGGTATAAAGAAAATCGCTCTGAACCTAACCCGAACCTAACTCTAGCCTTAACCCTTTTTTTTTTTCAAGGCATACGTCTCAAAAACTATACGCATGCTGGAGAGATGCGCTTCACAGATACCCTGCTCATCTGTGCCCCCTCGATCCTTCTGAGAGCAGTACATCCCTCAGAGTAACCATGTACTCACCTGTGAGATGCACTGCGGTACGCATAGTTGGGTGTTTCCCCTACAAACCCCCGATCGGGGCAAGCCCCGGACCCCCATTTTTTTTGTACGAATAAAGATCATTCAAAGGGTGACCTCTGATTAGGGGACACCTTCCCTAAAGTAAACATATATCAAAATCACTTTTTGAACCATTTAATGTTTGACCCCTGGGGGAGAGGAGAGGGAAGTTAAGGGTTAAGATGATCACCATTGTAATCGCCAGGTCAAGAATTATCTATGATAAAAGAATCATCCCGATCGGAGAGTACCCCGCAATCTGCACCCCAACTGGAACTTCCACCTAAATCATAAAAGCATAGCTACCATACGTAAGTATTATAATAGCCTGTATTATAATACTTTCGTTCAGTACGCTAGAATCTTCTATTGTGTACGAGGACAAATGATATATTTTAGAAAAGCATTACTGTTACAGTTTTACTTTCCTCTAAAAATAGGCCATTTCCTTCTAGTGTCTCAGCCAAGTTCTGGGAATTTGTCAGGATCTGAATTAAACGTTGGTCCAAGGAAAAACTCGACTTGCTCTAGTAACGGCAGTGGATGGGACATAGATATACCACTACCGATGGGCAGTAAGTTGACACCGAGATAGAGATGATTTATTGCCGACTGATATTTTTGCTGTTCGGAATGTAATGTTTGTATGATAATTCAGGTTCTCAATCATTAGAGAGTAATGGATCGTCAGGTATAGGGAGCCTTTCCAGCTTACGCCGACGGTGGCTACGAGTACTTTCTACTTCTCTTGCAAGGTCGGATTCCGATGATGCTTTTGGACTGCAATACTGGAGCGAAAATGGGAACGATAATAGTCACGTGAAGCGTCATAAAACAAGACTCGGGTTAACGATGTTAGTACGACTGGCGAAAGGTCACGAAAGGTTTGATCTTATTTAATTAACTATTTGTCAACGAATGGTTCAATAATTACTTTTTTAGTGTTCCTTTTTGATTGTGTTCACCATAATATTATATAAAAGGATAAATGTATTCGAAATGGGAAATCATAATTGTTGCATATCTTGGATTACAGAAGGATAGAGGCTTGTCTTTTAGAGCATATGGCTCTTTTGGAAGGAATGTTAGACCGTTTACGGTATTTTTGCATCGATGCTGGTAACGTTCATGCTCAGAACAAAGGAATGCAGCTTTCCGAACGGCTCTACAAATCTTCCTCCCTATTCGTTGTATCCTTATTACGTTTACTTACAAATGTTAATACGAGATTGAATATGCGGGCACCTTTACTGTGGCATGACGTACTACTTAATTCAGTAAGGATAGAACACAAAATGAGTACATTGCATTACAGCTTGCAACAAATGAGTCAATTACTCGAAAACATCGACACGAAATCAACCAACTTGTAAGTATGCAATTATTATATTATTAATCCGAATTAAACAGTTCTAACCCTTGTGTATTTTAGTTTTCTGAGTACCGTTGTAACTGCTGTTTTAACATATCACCTTGGCTGGATATATACTACACTGCCTGTTCATGATCGACAATTGGTAATTATACATTTTTTGGCTATATATTTTCATCAACACGAACACTCCTCTGTAACATGTCGATGATTTAATGTCATAAGGGTTTAATTATATGGTAATTAAAAATAATACTTATTTTTTTCTTCAGACTAAACGATTCTATGCTAAATGTGCAATAGTCACTATTTAGCACAAGATATTCCGTTGGGTGTATGGGTAGCGTAGTATCGGTTTGAATAAACAGAGGAAAAATGAAAAATGAACATTACAATTTAAGATATGTTGGAGATACGATATTGTCATCGTCAGAACTCAGGATCCGCTATACCCTATACTATTTGTTAAGGTCCTGTATTCCGTTGCTAACCGGGATTCGTTATTGGACTCGTGTCTCGTGTTTCTACCGCGACGTTTGGTTACGCTTGGTTATCATCGACTCGTATCTATGGTTGCATCGCGTCGCGTCGATTCGATTCGTATCTATTAATCCAATTGAATCGTCGTAAAGTAAACACGTTCCCGCGTGTCCTTTCTTTACGTTTATTTTATTCTAACCTACAAATATAACTGATTTATTCGTTTCTGATTTGAAATTATATGTTATTATTTCGCCCTGCCAGATCCTCATTCCAACAAGATAACTTCAGCGACAGAAATATTGTATCACATGTGCACATTCTTTTGGCAATTTCTCAAACTTGAATTTTTATAGTTATACCCTTCTGATATTAAACCACCGATTTACGTTATAGCGTACTTAATTTGAAGAAAACACACCATACATTGATATGATATTAATTTCAGATGGAAAAATTAGGTTCCTGGTATCCCTGTAATCCTCTATGGGCTCAATTAGGGGACTTGTATGGCGCATTAGGTAACCCTATCAGAGTAGCGCAAACTGTCGTTGCAGGAGATCCTCAGAAAGTCGATCTAATTAACTCTGTTTTATCTTTCTTATCGTACTTCATTCGTAGTGGAATTGTACGGAAACGTTATGAATATTGTTGCGTTACCGAAGAAGACATTCGCGAAGCTGCAAGTCTCTTGGAACAAGCGCGAATAAAACGTCCACATTTATTCAATACGAAAGTAACTTATAACGATCGAGACAGCCAAACGTCTCGACGAGCTTCGCGAACGCCTATTCGTAAACAAATTCCTGCACAAGAGCGTCTATACGATGCAGAAAGTGGTACTGCTTTTCTGCAGCGCTCTTACTCTGAGTACCCCGTCGATGGATTCAGAGCAGAAGGATCCGCCAGCCCTCTCAAGCGTAATACCACGATGAATTCAAATCTTGATACGTTCATGCTAAAACCATTAGCATCCAATAGGGATGTGAAAGTAATTTCAAAAGAATTTCCATGCATGGATGACGAGAATGAAAAAACAACCAATGACGAGAAGATCTGTGCATCCAGTAAAGTAAAAATAATAGTCAGTGACATTGCATCGCCAAATACTGATGCGACCAAGACTGATACGCAACATTATTCTGAATTTTCATTGCGGAATTTTGAGAAAAAATTAGAGGATGATGAAACAGAAGAGACGTTCATGAATTGTAAGACGACTACATTTGAGGGATACAACAGCACATCGACCGATGTGCTGAAATTATATTCC